ATTACTCAAACCAGCCCTCGCCCAAATCTCACCATGTTTTAGCCAACCAGGATCTTACGCCAGCCCAAACACAGCAATCACGGAGCCCACATGGTTATCACTGAATGACTAGAGCTCTCCTGTTGCCCAGCCAAGCTCAAAGCAAGCTAGGAGAGCATCCAAAACTGTGACCTTTGGGTGGCTGTCAGCCAACACCCTCCAGGAACGGCTGCATCTTTCCTTGTCCCATTCAAGGGGCTCCTCATGCATTGCATCCGGCCGGAGTTACCCCCCCAAGCTCCAGTCCAACAATGAAAACCTCCCACAGCCAAGCACGTGTTGATCGTGCCTGCCACAAGCTAAACAGCCAAGCATCATGGATCAAGCTCCCAAGGCCCACGGACCACCACCAAACCACTCCAGCCTCATGTAGCGCTCAGCCCACCCTTGCAGATCACCCCAGCCACACAGATCATTTGGTCTCACCCCAAAGCCAAGCAGGGTTTCAAGAGAGTGCCCAAAACACGTCTCATCCACCTACTCCATTTCACCCACCAGCAATGCAACTGGAGAACCATAGATAATTGTTCCCACCCACCAGCCCACCTCCATCCACTGCAGCCATTCTCTTTCCAGGCATCTCAAGCCCCTTCTTACTTGGACAGGGCTTGCCTGCTGATGCATGCCAGCCATCCTGCACTGCCCAAGATCCTTTCCTCCCTCATCCTCCCACCTTATCCCCATTCCTTTGGCACTTCCTTTTGGCCAAACATTGGAGAATTGCATCTTCTTCCTCCTGAGGTTTTGCATCACCATCCCAGCCCCAGGTCTCTGCAGAGCTGAAGTTCATTAGAGACCATCCTCAGCAAGTACAGTCTCTCCTCCACCCTCTAGCTGGACATGCCAGTGACATTAAACTCCCCACAGTCCAGCCCCCCGCTAAAGAGATCGCTGCTGTCAGAAGGCAATGGGAAGCGCCTCTCCTCCATGGAAGAAAAAAAAAAAGACCATTTAAAACGAACTCATTTGGGCAAAGAAAGGGAAATGGTGCCCTGGGCAAACGCTCTGCTGGGTCCTGCCCAGCTCCATCCCACACCTCCGCGCAGCACACCCGCTCTCTACGCTTACGAGGCAGGAAAGCCCAAGCCTACTTCCATCTTTGCAGATCTCCACCACGTATCCATCCAGGCCCGACCGGCCCATCTGCTCTGGGGCTTTCCAGGTCAGCGTAACCGAGTTTTCGCTCACTTCTTCCACGGCCAAGGACAAGGGGCAGCTGGGTGGCTCTGTAACAAACCCGCAGAGGTGAGCACAGGCTCTCGAGTACCGGGGCTGTTGGAGGGCAACCACCCCTTCAGCCCCCCCATCCTCCTAATCCCCCAGCCCAATCACACTCCAAAAATATCCTTGATGACTTCAACCCTCCATTCCTTCACCCCAGCACCCCCAACATGCCCCCTCCCAGCTTTGCATATCTCCCCTCCCCACTTCAGAGCCCAGTCCCGTTCTCACCTTCTTTTGGTTTCTCAGGCTCGGGTTCAGGGGCTGCGGTTTGGGGTTCAGCCGGGGCAGCCGGGGGACCTTCTTCAGGGGCTGGAGTGGGGACTTCAGGAGCTTCTGCCGTGGGGACGGGAGCAGGCTTGTCTGCGGGAGCTGTGGGCTGCTCTGCGGCAGGGGGATGCTCCGGGGCAGGGGGCTCTCCAGAAGCTGGGGCTGGGGCTGGTTCTTCCTTTGGGGCTGGCGCCGGCTCTTTCTTCGGAGCTGCCGGAGACGGGTCTGTGGCTGGAGGCGCGGTTTTGCCGGTCATTGCTGCAAAGCCTGGGGGCTGAGGAAGAGGATGTTTTGGGGTCTTTGCTCCGGGATCTCCACTCTGTTTTGGGGTCCCTGCTCCAGATCAAAGGTCTGTCCTCCAGATCTGGGATCTCGACTCCGAAGCTGGGGTCCCTGCTCTGGAC